TCCTCCCTCTCTCATCTGTTCCTAACTTTTTTTCAGCTAGACCCCGGTCTGTGGGGCGTTAGTGGTGAAATCACATGGATCAAATGAGATTTGGCATGGTTTGCACAGGGAAGACAGCGAGTGTGCGAGCGTGCGTCTGCGTGCGAGGAGGCCTGTTTAAGGAACGTCAGCGGCGGGGGTCTCCGAGGGGCTCATCAAAGCATGCCGCGTCCACTGCAGCCCCGCGCTAAGCTCAAGTCAGCGCCTCATTGAGTCTGTGTGAATGACCTCGGGGGAACACCACCTCCCGCTGCCCCCCATGCATTCCCCTCCACACTCTGCCCAGGGTGTGGCCCAGTTCGACAGGATTACGCTGAGGAATGCAGCCGAGCCCATCTTTTAAAACAAGAGAGGAGAGGAGAAGGGGGGTACAGGCCATAGGCATGAAGTCCATGTTCACTGAGGCTTCCTAAAGATCCAGCTAAATGCAAAAGCCCAGAGGGAGGACGTTACAGATAAATCAGAAGAATCTCTAAATTAAAAAAAGGCATGTGTTTGAGTTTGATTGTCTGGGGTCTGTCTGGATTGGCATCTATACTAATAATAATTACTTACATTTATTATAGCGCTTTTTCAATGACTCAAAGCACTTTACATATACACACATTACACATATATCATACATGCAATGGTCAGATACTGTGGACAATACCCACAGGAGCAAGTTCAGGTGAAGTGTCTTGCCCAAGGACACACCGGCTTTACAGACGCAGCAGCGGCGGGTTTCACCCCTTGATCTGATGATCATTGCACAGCGCACTGCGCCACACCGTCCATCTTCACGCCTCGAGGTCATCGAGGCGCTTTTACAAGTACACATTAGTATTATACATGTGGATAATACCCACAGGAGCAAATCCGGGTGAAGTGTCTTGCCCAAGGACACAACGGCCTGACGCAGTGGCGGCAGGAGCGGGTTTCGAACTGGAGTTCCCCAGCACTCCCCCTTGATCAGATGATCGGATGCACAGACCACTGCGCCACCCGTCCCACTACCTTAGCCATTCAAACACTTTCCCTTCTTGCCGTGTTCCCTCGCTACTTTATTTGCAGGTTTCCGTCATCCCACGGTCCTCAAAAAAACTCTTCTGCTCTTTTGAAGCCCGGATTAAGATGTTCTTACAAAGTGGGGGAAACCAGGGCACCTCACCCCCAGGGGGGTTCTGCCGAGAGTCTGTGACACAAGTGAGAAAACACCACACACACCTGGAAGTAGCTTCTATTGTTGCTCCTGCTCGACCACTTTTCTTTTTGACAACCGCAACTTGACATGAAACATGATAGTGCCAGGATGCACGAACCCCCCCACCCCCCGCCTCTTAGACTATTGAGGTCCACTGAGGCGTGGGGATCACCTGGTTACATCTGAGTGGAGTAAAAAGAAACTGTGGGAGGAGAGCCTTAACGGACCATGGTGCTTATTTTTTAAGCATTATTTTCTGCATTTTTCAAATCTGCCCACGTGTGTTATGTCATATTTGTGCAAGCAGTCAAAAACTTAAATTGAGACAAACGCTCTTGTGGACAGTCTTTTTTACTGCAGCGCAGATAGAGACCTTACAGAGAGAAGCAGAAGCCTCAACAGAAGGCTACCGTCAGAGGCACGGCCAACGTGACATCACATGACGGCTGGGATTGCAATAAGGTACTATTTCCCACTCCACTCACCCCCTCTACCACCAATATGTCACGGTTTCCATGGTCACACAACACAACAAGTATCTAAGGGCTTAAAGGAAAAGGCTTCAACCACGTCTCATCGTTTGTGATGCTGCTGGCCTGCAATGACTGATCTCAATGGAAAATACTTTAAATCATCTACTTGTCTCCGTTTACGACAATCTGTATTCTCTTAACACGTTTAAATGCATCATTCTGGCTGGTTTTAAGGAAATATGTTAGTAAAAATTGTGTATTTTCCGAAACATTTCCAACTATTGTTGAGGTCAACAGTGTCACGTTTTCATGCCACAATGAAAATGAATGACGCCCGGTATTAGATATATCATGTCTACCAACCGAATGTGAATCCAGCGTTCATTGGACAGAGATGAAGCAGCTTGTCCTATTTTGAGAGATGACAAATGTAGCATGGAGATACTATTTCTAAAGCCCACACTGTGGAGCAGGAGGACACAAAATAATCCCCCAGGCATGACACTATAGAAGTGCTGAGAGCAGGGAAGTGGAGTCAGGACGCTGCACGCTTTACCATCAAGAGCCACCGTAGCAGGCCTGACTCCACATCTCCACTTGACCTATGAAAAACACACTATCGGAAAATGCAAAAACACGTGTTCAACGCGCCTGGTCTCGGAAATGTTGCTATTTGACATTCTGGATGCTACGCCCGTCCCTGTCCTTGGCGTGTGACTTCAATAAGGAGGGATGTACACGAGTGCAAAAACTGAATTATGCTCTCAAATGTAATTTATATCCGGCGAAAATGCACGAGGCTCTTACCGCACCTCCGCTCTATTTCTTGCCAAGAGCAATGACAGCAAGTTCTCCGACTTGTCACTGCATTGTGTTTAAAATGACACCTTTTAAAAGCTGCGCTACAGAATATGATTGCTCGACAAATAGGTCGGAAATACGTTTTCATATAAATGTCACAACACCTGGTAAATAAAATGTCTCTCCCCAAGAATACCTTTTTAACCTTTTGAAGATGAGGATTGTCAAACATGTCAAACAACATACAAAATAAACCTTTAACACACATTTTGAGAGTGTGTGTCATCACCTCAGGAGTGTTTGACACCAACAATAACCAGAATTCTTCACTGACTTTGCATGCCGGCCTACTGCTGCTTGACAAGTGCAACAACAGAGTTACACCTCCTACTCAACTCCTCTCGAGCCGTACCTTTCACTTGTTTATGAGAAGGACGCGTCTGATCATTGGCCAAGACACGCCTGGCAGCACACAACCCTGGCATGATAAACCTATCAGATGAGAAGACCCAGGAAGACGATACGGGCGTAATGGGGTGGAAATCAGCCTGCCGTGGAGCGAAACACATTTCCTAATGCATAATAAAGCATTCATTCTCTCAGCTGTCACGAGGAAAGTCTTGGTGGGAAAGGGGGCGAGTCGGAGTCAGAGGTACAGAGAATCCTGTATTCTCGTTCTGTCACTGGGTTTTATGGTGAAAACAGGGGCAGAGAGAGTCTGAGGGAGTGATTACAGTCCGTCTATACATTTATCAATTTAGCTGCATTCGGCTTATACAGAAGCCACTTGGTCATGGTGGCCGAACTGTCGAATTCAACATCCAAATACCAGCATTTAGAAAGCCCTTATTTAAGATGCACTAACAGTCCAATCCAGAGTTACTTTCCTAGGGTAAAGTAACTTTACAGATCAGTTTTTCCTTCAGTTTGTACTTTAAAGCACAGATGAAGCACGAGTTGCCAGTGCATTGCCTCAAAGCTTCTATTTGTAGTGGATACGTCCTTGAGAATCGTGTAAATTAAAAGGTGGCACTATGAGGTAGAGTGTCCGGGTCATTTAGCTCGTTCATGGATGACTGGTTGGAGTTTTCATGGAAACGGCAAAATCATATCATGTGTGGACTATCCATGTCAGGTCATCCGCTGCATGGTGAGACAACAAATCGATCCCAGTTGGAGTCAGCTGTTAGCTCATTATGGTATAACAGCAAGTAATAGTTCACTGAGCTTTACCACAGTCAAGAAAACAGCTGATTGCACAATGAACAAAACTTGTTTTCATAGTGTTGGATAATTATGGACTGTGAGCAACTTGCAATAAATGGAGCTTTTACACAACCTTAAGATCTATATGGATTAATACAAAAAGTAGCAAGGCGTAAGAGGAGGGATAGTATGTATAAATGACATCAGAATTGAGAGAGGGAATCTAGTCTCTCTGTTTTGACATTGGCCTCGTACACAACCTTGAACAAATGTAAAATGCCCTCGCCACACACTGCACTGCTGTATATGTGGAATGCAGCTACAGTTCACACTTTAAAAGAAAAAGTGTTCTGCTCTAGTTTCTTTGGCTATTTATCATTGTCACCACTATTTTTCTTATATATATATTTTTTTATCACAGCTTGAAAATAAGCTTTTTTATTTGCAGTATGAGGGGGCTTGTATGAAATGATCTCATTATAATTGCAGAGACTTTCAAAGGGTCTGATGTAGAGCTAATTTAAGATATTTTGCCAAACTGTAAGGGTGACATTCTCATAAGAGGGGCCAGGGAATAAACTAGAGACCCGTATTACAGAATTAAATACTTCAACATGGTCTTAAGGCCTTGAATGGAATTATATATCAACCAAATGTCAATAATAACAACTAAATCCATTTAAAAGTCGAGATGATGTCACATAAAATGCCATAGTTACAGCTATTCTTGGATCATTGAGATAGAAACATTGCAAAACGAGCTGTGGCTGTTCATGTTGATGGTGAGATGTGAGTGGCAGCTGACATGCATCCAGAAATAGAAGCCCTGGAATGACTTAAGGCGATCAGATGTTCACCCTCATATACAAATGATGGACAAGGCACGGTAACATTAGAAGAACTTATCGCACAAAAAACTAGACACACCTGTGGTGACAGTGAACATGACAACAGACCTCCTTGGCCTTTAACTTTATAGGTCAGACCGCTCTGCTAACTGCAGCACAGCATGGAGACCTGACACACATGCTAATTTGAGCCGACAACCTACACCCCCCGACCATTAGAACCCACAAAGCTGTAACATTTTATGTCAGATACTATATCGGTACTGCAGAGGTGAAATCTGATTTCTCATATTTGCTTTACCTCATTTGACAGTTCCATGAGGTTGTGTGAAGAGAAGTGAATTAGAGAGTAGAAAACATAATTTATGTTTTTACCTATACTAATGGGAAAAACATGGAGTTAAAGTAGAGGATGGATCACAGCAGTAACCTACATTTAACAATCCTTACCTTTAACGAGTCAAAACAGGCGATCACCCTCCCATTTTCCACCTGGCAGCTTTTGGGTGGGTGGGCAAATTTGCATTCCTCATCGCTGCGTGAACAAGTCCCTCTCTGAAACTGCCGGCACACTTCCAGGGTCAGCCATTTTGTGTCCCGTATCGAGGCAATGTTTAGAGCCATGGCAGCAGCAGTGGCTGTGGAGCCGGGTGGAGCACTTGGTTTTTAAAAGGAGGCGATCCTCTGAGGAGGCGTTGCAGAGTGTTCCAGTTAAAAAAAAATAAAACGCACAACAACTAAAACTGATGGAACATGCAGCTATAAAAGATCTGCTTCAGGTCAGCAGATCAGGTTTGTCCTTGTGGACAGGAGAGTGGAGGTAATGGACTGGCAAAGTCTCTGTGACCGGAGCATGGGACTGCGCTGCTGTTTGGGAGTTTATCAGTCACTCAGATAATTGTTCTTCAATCAGTACGTCTCAGGTGCAGACCTCTGACAAGGCCAAGGGGGCATAATCAGGGACAATCTCTACTGGTAGGACCAACGTCCCCAAAAATGACCTTTGTATGACTAATGATGTGCAACGGTGGATGTTTGGGAGCAAAAGTAGAGCAAATTTTAGATGCACAGGACACTAAATGTGTGGCTTTCTGTTAAAGTCTTCTGTACCTCCGCTCCCCGAGCTTTGGCACGTTGGCCAGCAGTGCAGTAGCTCCAACGCTTCACTTGGGGTTTCTTCACACAGAGGACAAACAAGCAGGTCAAGGGTGTTTAAGTCCTATCACAACTGCAGAGGGGGAAAACCTGGAGCTCTTCAGGAGCCCCGAGGGATCTTCGAGTAAGGATGTCGTCTCCCAAGGCACTTTCCGATATCTGGAATGGAGCAGAGAAAGAGACAACAGTGTGAGAAAATTGTTCGCCAAATATGATGGGCAATACATTTCAACTGGCATTAAAAGGGTTTTGTGTATGCATGTCAATCTGAATTAGTGTGCCCTGGAGGACCTCTAAAGGGCTGATGAACCAGGGAAAAGGCAGTTGTGAGGATGTTCAGCCGCACTTGAGTTTAAGTCCCCAGATCGCTGCTGTGGGCCATTGTACGAGCCGGTGACTACATGCCCACTGGCTCTCCAACATATTGCGCACAAAGCGGTGAATAGTAAAACTCTGTGTGCTATGAGACCGTGGACAAGAGCGTGGAGTCGGGGCAGAGATAGAGAAAAGCCCCAGGGTCCAACCCACCCTGTAGAGCCATGCACGGCGGGATGGGGCAGCCAATAGAAAACCGCGCAGCGCAGCACTATTCCGGGCAGCCGTCCAGCAGCCACAGAGGGACCGAGACAGATGCATATGCAAGCACCAGACTCGATTATGACGCTGCCTAGTGTCCCGCAATACTCACTTGTCTCGCACTGTCCAAATTAGATACTGGCTCATTGGCAGAGGCTTGTCAATTTACATCCACGGGGGGAATGTGCGCCTTGTCCTGTAAAGGTACTGGTCTCTGTCTGGAGTCGTCTAGGGAGAAAATTGGGACAATTGGTGGAGCAACAATCTGAGCAAGTGACCTTTAGCTTGAACGTACGAAAGCCATTACTAAGCTACTGCGCAAGGAGCTCTTTCCTTGGCACATCTGGAAATGTTTTTCTGCTAACTGGGGGCGGGAAAAGGGGGTTGAGGACACCAGCCTGCGGGAGGAGAAGGGTTGTAAAAACATACAGCTTGGGTTAAAAGATTCCCCCGTTACTGTTTGGAACATATAAACCAATGCACGGAAAACAGACCAGACAAGGAGCAAACACAGAGAAAGTGTTAAATACTGTCAGAACAACATCTTAAACAAGCTCTAAAAAGGCACATGACAAGTTCAGGTGGTCTTAATGAAGCCTTGCTGAGACTTGTACTCAACCCATCAATGCTACTGTAAAGGGAAGAAGAAATCCCTGCAGAAATTCTTTTCACAGATACACAGCTGCCATACAGCAGGTCTTGTCAGATTTAGGTGAGGCTTAGGCACAGAAAGGTCCATCTTATCTTAGCCTAACCTATTTTTGTCCTTTTATCTTGTAAAAGTAAAAATCATCTTGGACTGAAACATGTTCTCTCTAATTGGAGATTTCTGAACTCAGTTTGAGGTCTGAAATATCAAATAACTCAAAAAGGCCACAAGAACAAGACCCTATATCCTCGCCAATGAATAATAATGATTTGCCAGTCACAAAGAAAGGTAGATGCTACCCTTTGTAACCATTATACTGTTCCAAGCCTATGAATCCAGACCATTGTCTAGCTAATCATATTGTCCCACTTTAGTGCTGATCATGTGTAATGAGATGAGAAGCTTCCTCGTCCAATCGTACTGACGCCCAGGCTCCGCTCTCAGAGGCAGGATTTAATTTCACACCATCTCCCCAGGGAGAAAGCCAATCGCTGCAGAACAGAGTCAGGTAAGAATCATGTCAGATCTGACCTTTAACAATTAATCCCTTCTTATTTTTAGAAGCCATAAGAAGTCTGTTATCAAGCTAACCTACTTTGTCGGAACGTGTGAAGGGCCGATGGCGCCATTTCTCTGTGAACTGTCCTGGCCTCAAGTTATGCTAAAATTGTTAGGGGGACACAACCATCCTTTTTTATATTTGTGTTTGGAAAGCTGGGGTTTACTGGCTTACAGTAGCTCTGAAAGCTTTCATGAAATCGAGTAGGCCGAGTGTGGATAAAGGTTGGTTGAGGTCATCTGAAAAGCTCACAGGGTAGCCGGCTCAACAGGCAACACTCAAACAATGTTTGTCATGAGAGGTATTCAAAACAAATGGTGATGACTGAAGATCAAAAACACCCTCATGAGGGCGATGTTAGGATAATAATCATGCAGGAACATGACCGCATGTCTGTTCCCATACAGATGGACTGTGAAGGTTTGTGTAATATCTAGAAGCAGGGAAATTGGACTGCTGCTGAAGCAACTTGTTTCCTCATTATTATGGGTGCTGTTATTCACAACATCTGCCCTGAGACTAGGCCTTTTGTATTAACTACAATTAAGATAATCTATTCAAGCATTTAGTACATTACTGAAGTTGAAAACACACGTCATGGAAAATAAAAACCTGTGATATCATCAATTTGTGGATGCATATGTTTATATATATATTATCATAATATAAATTGCAGTGTGCTTCATCCAATTAGCTTTAATGAGATGGGTGTGTAATTGAGAAATAACGCTGTCGTAGCATGTTAGCTAATGCTAGGCTGAGATGATTGAGGCATCCTGAAACATACCAAAGCCCCCTGCTGGAAAGTAAGCTGTCATACCGGGGGGGAGATGTTACCTCTGTCACATAACAACATCCTAGTGTAACAGCTTGAAGAACCCAAACTCACAGTGGAAGAATATAATTTGGAAAGCTCAAGCTGAGCTAAGTTTTGTCTTTTGGACAGTGTGCCTCTGGCTTGGTTGAAGCTAGCTTAGCTTCTGCTAGTGCATGATAATTAGAGAACATGCAGACTGGCTTAGTTTATGCTGAGCTTAGCGGTCCAGCTTCAAGCACAATGCCACTAAATTAAAAAGGGAAAGACAGATGGTCAGCAGGTAGGAAGGGACCATGCAGCGGCCAATGTTCCGACCTCAGAAACAAACACCCTTGATCTACCAGGTTCTGTTTTTGCAGTTTTTAAGTCCTTCTAGGGACTAGTCTTTTAATCTGTTTTCAGCTACACACATGACTACTTTTTGAATAAACCTCAAGAGCAAATCCTGTACATCCCTGTGTATCCTGTTTATCTTAACTTCCCGAGGCTTTGTTGCCTCTGTATCCTCAGTACAAACAGTGGACAGACATGGTGACCTGATAAAGAGGGCAGAGATGTGAAGAAAATGATTTTATGGATTACTGACGCTTACTAAGGCCAGCTGGCAGGGGCATTATCTTGGTCAGTCTGCTTAATTGAATGAGAGTCAGCAGGACTGGGGCGACTGGAGTGAAAGTCATTGGCTTGACCTCTGAATACCATGTATGTAACCCATTAGTGTGGTATCTGAGCACTGGTCTGTGCGCTACAGTTTATCTCAGCTGCTTGTATTTGCTCAGCAGAGACGATAAGCTACCTGCTTTCCATTGGTCCTGAGCCTTGTGACAACGTTTACTGTGGCATCAGCCAGGTGTTGCCAGCAGAAATAATGAAGAGATACTAATGACTGTGACAGACAGGCACAGGAGCTGGGTACCCGAGTGGCTGCATTTCCATTTATTACCATTTCATGCTGGAAAACCCACACTTCTATGGTCATTTGCATTGCCAAGAGGAACAAGTGGTCAATGTTTTTTCAAGGCTGTGGAGAGAGGGACTCATTGTTCAAGTGAAATAGGAAAATGTTCAACTTCCAGTGAGTAATGGAAAATGAACGAGGCTCACAGTAATGGTTTTATCAAAATGTCCCTAACCTAGCTTTCAGGGTGACATCACCAGCTTGCACAAATGTTCCCTTGCAGCCTCCAGGGAGGATCAGAGCAGGGCTATACCATGCAGCCTAATTCCTGTTTAATACTACAGACGTTATGACGCTTATGAAATTGTCTTTGGCATAAGCTACGTCTCCTTGAGTGTAATATCATCAAGTGCCATTAGTGTTAAGGATGCGTGAGTGAGCTCAGTGGAAGATATACCAGGACTAAGCTATACTGTTTGAAAGGAGACACAAGAAGCATTTTCACACAGTCAGCAGAAAGGTGTGCCCTATATCATAATAGCCTTAGCTAAACCACATTGACCCGAATGGCCCTGCTCATTATATCAGAATGGCCTTTTCTCTCCTTATTTCGAAACACAAAACATTAGACCCTTTCCATTTTTTTATAAGAAAGAGTGTGGGGTGGATTTCCCCTGCACTCTGTAAATGGACTTGTTTACTGTGTAAGTGTTCTCGTCTACTCAATGCTTAGCCACAGGACTCAGGCAAGTCATCAGCTAATTACAGTATAGTTGGCAGCCAGAGGTGAAAAGCGCCAATCTGATAAACATGATGATTAACAGCATACCCAAGATCTAAGGTGAAAATTCTAGAAGCACTACATCAACAGCGGCTGTATTTTGATCACTTCCACTGAAATATTAACCTAAACTCACAGAAGAAAAATGCTACGTTAGATTAAAATTCTTGTACTTTTGAATAAGAGGTGAAATTATTGATATCTCAAGCCGTTAAATTACAGTTCTTGAAAACACAAGAGCTGGATGATTCAGCACACTCACCCTCGTGTCACAGAGTAATCAGACTCCCTCTTTCATGCAGAAGATGTCTGAAAAACCTACCGACCACTAAATCCGTTTAATACCATCTCGAGATGCAATTTGCACGTGTCGATTCAGAGAAAGGGGATTTCTGTCTGACAGGGGCGCGCTGTAAAAGGCTTGGTACTTGTCTGAGACTTATCCCATTCTTTTCTCAACAGGAAGGGCTGAACTGATGTTCCATTTTAGAAAACACCCACTTCCCCTTGGTTCACAGCCACCCTGGCCTTTTCCATGCAGGCGCTGATGTCCACTTTACTGCTTCAGGCCCATCGTCTAGCACAAAGCTAAATCTGGATAGACAGCGGAAAGCCAGGGACACGTCGACCATGCCGCATCTAACTCAAAAGGTTAATGATGATGTGGGCCGTATTAGAACTGTGAACTTCCAGCGTATCAACTATGAGTGTCCAGACAAGAGTGTAAAACCCTGTTCTGAACACACAATCCCTACCCTTGTTATTTGGAAAATGTGTTACAAGGAAAAACTTTGTAGGAACAAGGCAAGTAGTGAAAAAGCAGATGCTACACAACACAAGTTTTTCTCTAGAGAGTGAAGAATATGAGCTTCTGACATTTGCACTGAGGACGGGGGCACTGCTGTGATAATGCCTCTCCCTCAGGAGACGTATGAGAAAGTCCATTACAGTGCTGGAACTGCACTGTAATAAGGGTAGTTACTACGTGGCTGCAAGTACTCTGTGCATTAACCCAACACACACACACTATATATATATTTTCTGCCCCTTTCTTTCCTCAGTTCAGCCTTTCACTCTCACAGATAAAACATTCCCTCTCCTCCCTCCCCACCCAGACTGGTATGCAGCACACTGCAGCAAAACTCTTTGAGTAAAAACAGAAAAAGGCAGCCAGTATGACCGTTCTCTCCCACCTGGTTCCACTGGGTCCTGCTGTGAGCCTCTGTCTGTCTGCTGTCCCGAACACAGGAGGCACCGGTGCTGCTGTGACACTGAGCTACAGTGCAGCGTTCCCTTCAGCGCCTGCGACTGGAGTTAATGACCATGTGAACTGTTGTCATTCCTCGCGAGCTGCCGAGTGCTGCAGCTGGAGGTCCATGCCTAGACAGGGATTTTCTCTAAATGTCTCTCTCTCTCTCTCAGCAAGCAAGCGAGCTAGGCAGGCAGGCAGGCAGGCAGGCAGGCAGGAAGCAGAAGAGTGTCTACTCCAACTATCTGGCTAAAACACTTCCAGCCTCCCCCCCACACCCCTAAAGCCAGCCTCTTCCTGCCCACCAGCCTGTAGCAAGGCCCTGCCCCTTAACAGCTCCAGCCAATAGGAACACAGCCCCCCAGCTTTCTTATTGGAACAGAGGAGACTAAGTGAAATATGTGCTTACAGTAACAACCTCTGAATGCTCAATTTAAACGGTATTTCCCCAATTCCATGCTCAACTTTTTTTAATTTTATTTAGAATCTGCACCCCAGGAATTGTTTTCTAATAGAAACACAAAGACAGTACTTGTTTCAGAAGACAGCAGTACGAGTAAGCAATAATCAAAGGGTTGCTGCAGTGGCATGCTGAACATCAGCCATGTCCTTGTCTATGTTCTATCATCACATTTAACACCATCCCCCCAGGAAACAGGAGCACCACACCTCCTCCCCCTCCCTCTCGACTCTCCTCTACCTTCCCTCACCATCCGTCCTCTAAACTCATCTACTCCAGACACTCCTCTCCTCCCGACGTCTCTTTTCCACCCCTCACCTGTGCATTTCTCTACTCGAAGATATCTTTCAGGCTCTTTTCCAATCACATTTTACTGGACTGGAAAATTGGACAGTTTTGTTATTGTTATTGCATCAGAATTAAAAAAAAAAAGAAGATTTGTAGGGGCTGGGAAGTGGGAGTCTTGGTCTGTCTCCTCCCCCACTCGTCCTCTCCCCTCCGCCCAGCTGATGACATGCTGGTTGGCAACATATGAGCCGTGAAACCGGAGCGTCACAGAACTGATGAGTCAGAGATCCAGCTTCATGACTTTTCGATCCAGATTCAATAGAACAGCTGTACCGTCTGTCTCTCCCTCCTTCCGTCTCGTACAAAGGTTGTGAATGACGCAGCAGCCTGGGTGTTTCGTTGACATCAATGAGGCTAAACATGCTTTGCAGTCCCATCATAAACAAACCGTTTGATTATGCTTTAATGGCAATAAATAATCTGATGCTCCGCAAGGAAATTTATTTGTCAAATGGTTTAGGGGAGATGGGGGGGATTAAAATCTCCAGCATGATAAATTGTCTACCTCAGCAAATGAAAACCGACGTCACCCTAGACATCAGAGCACCTGTAATGAAATAACACAGACAAGCGCTCTTCCATTAAACGAACAGGGAGGCAGGGGGGTGTCAGCCTTTGTCAAAAGCAAAAGTGTCACCTTCCTGGAATGAAGTCTCACTATGCCATGCAGCAGTTTAAAGGAGCAGCAATGCTACAAAGCAACAACTTGGTATTACTGCAGGATACAACTTGACAGTTATGAAAATGTGCTCCTTATGTCAACATGTATCCAGAACAGCATCAGTTGGACAGGCGAGGCTGCTCCACCATTCCCGATACATTCTCAATTTCTCATTTGGCTGCAACCGATTTTTCAATAACCACATTACTGAATAACTGTCAATAAATTAATAACAAGCCTGCTTTTGTTGTAGCAAATTTCCTAACAGCAGACCTCAGATAACCTACCTTCTAAATAGATTTGCCTGACAGGAAAACAAACAAAAGGCCGGCAGACAAACAAGCTGAGGCACTTCCTTTGCACATGGTACACCCTCCCCTCTTATTATCCCTGTCCTGTATGACCGCAAACGGCTTGGCTCACTCACAAGCAAATTTAGGAGCCCAAAGCGGCTTCATTTCAAATACAATAGTATTCCAGAACAATGGATAATTACGGCAAATTAAGATGGCTAAATCTGTCTGATATTGGCCCCCAGTACAGAACACTGAATTCTGTGGCACTACTGGATAGTTACACACGACAGAGGGAAAAAAAGCAGGGCTCAGAAATAGGGCACCGAAGACAGATCAATGAAAAGGCAGCTGTCTTTTTCTATTATTAGCCGTAATCAAATATGAAGCGGCAGAGAGTTGCGCTTCCTTCCTTCCGCTTGAAACCCATTCTGGTAAATCTGACACACAAGGCCACATGATGACAGAAAATAAACAACGGGCTGACAGATATGTAGGCTAGTGGTCAACCGGTGTGTTTTGGAGCCGGTTCAAGGCTGTGGACCAAAGATCAACCAGGAAGTACTGGATTATTTGCATTAAAAGTGTTATTGGGTGGGGTCAAAATCGTTTCTGTATGTTAATCTGATGCTATCAAACATTATTGCCCATTTTTTCCCACTGCTAATTATACAAAGTACATTTTCTAACATTCATAATGCACTGTGGATTGCTAGGTCTTACTCAAGTGAACATGTGAACAAGCCAAAGTTATTCTGTTCTTAGATGTTAATTAGCATTTACAGGACCAACGACTGTACATGACCTAGCAGATAGTCTAATCACAATTTATTAACCTTACCCAGGTAGAAAGGCTCCTGCTTAGCCAACCTGCAGTAGATTAAATTGTGCTTCCACTTATGTCTCATTAGAACAGTTTTATTTGTTCTTGCACATGGCAATTAAATCCAACTATCCATTAATCAAGGTGCCATTAGTTCGTTCTGGGTACACTGTAACACGTGTGCACCTAGAGGCATGATGACAACTCAATTATTTTATAATGTTGATTGCCATAAATGGAATCAATAACCAATTGTTTTTTACTCAACCTACTCCAGATTAATGTTATAGATTACTTCAATTCAAATAGTTTTATTAGCATGACCATAATGACATACAGTATTGCCAAAGCTGTGTACAATAGCGACATCTATACATAAATATACATTTGAAAAGGTACTGTTAAATTCATAAACATGTTTGAACATGTTTTCTTTACAAGGAACACAATGTTATTTTTGAACATGAACTAAACGAACACGTAGGCCTATTGTGCAAGATAATGCTGAAAGTTAATTCATTGAATATATAAATAAGAAAATAATAAGAAAAAGACGTGAGATATGAGACCTAGCAAACATCATGTCCTCGAAAGCATTACATATGACAGTGCAGGAGAGAAACACTACGCATGCTGATTTTATCTTGCTGCTTTCACTTGTTTTCATTAGCTCTGTGCAATGATTATGAGACAGCATAGCAGTCCAGACTTTAACGCATACTGTTAAGGATACTTGACTGGTCTCATTGCACCTATTTTAGCCACCTTTGCTGTCCAAAAGAGGCGTTATGTTAACCAAGTGTGTGCAGAAACACCAGAGGCAAATGATGCTATCTGCTAAGCTAACTACCTGCAGCTTACCTGATGACGAACCTGTCACATCCAGCTGCACTTCATCCGCTTCTCCAGGGCGCTATTTCGGTTGTAACGGGACCAACAGGACGGCAAAATGTGTCTTCGTGTGAGACTTCTCCCAGCTGCAAACTTTTTTCGCTTTCGAAATAACGGTGCACGGTTTTTCAGTGAAAGGCAGAAGTAAGCTCACTACACGCTAGCTCGCTAACTACTTTTAAGGCTAGGGTAGGAAGCAACAAGCGATTTTGACAGTTCGAGGAAATGTCCAATGTGTCCGGGGTGGTACTAAGGTCTAAACATTAAAACGCATTTATTCTAAAATATGTAACTTATTATATGCTGCAACTAAACGCCACGTGGTGTGAACGTAGAAGGTGCTGGTACATTTCGTTGAATTTAAACATTGGAGATTTACTTATTTTCGATAAACATCGCTATTACTACCCTCCAGTAAAGTTGGTACAGTCCAAACGAACCAAGGGTAAAGGGAGGGGGTGCTTGTTACCTAGGAAACAACAGTGAATCTCCCTGGGGGAAAATATGTGGCCACTGATTTATGAACCAGTGACTGTCTGTCTGTCAAAATAGCCGGCCATCGACAAAATAAAAACATTAAACACATTTGACAAGCCCTATCGCAATTTATTTTACAATACCCTATTCATTCTTATAGAAATTCACACTTTTACTTGACTTATGTACACAGCAACCTCGACATGAGACATGATTATTAGATGAATAATGGATGTGTTATATTATTTTAATAAAGCCAGAGTAATTTAATTGAATTACATTACTTAATATACATCTTTAATATTTATGTTATACTTGTAAAGGCACACAATCACTATTACTATGTCAGGAGCAAAGCAAAAAGGCCAGAAAGTACATTTAATTTCGATTTATCAGCTGATCAAAGACTCTAAATCAGCACATCGTCACCACTTACTGTGCAGATTAGCATGCACATCCCAAACATTTTGCAGCCTAATTGCATGCAGCTGGCTGGATTTAGCCATCTGTGACACACAGGGACCCGTTGTCAGCAAGAAGAGCATCGAGTTAACAAGGAGCAAGTCACAAATATCCCCGGAATGAGCAGAGAGGCACAAATGTAGCCCCACTGACTGCTGCCCACGCCATGCATGCCTATTGAGCACATAAACAATGAACATAGCCATCACAGACTGCTCTGTCAGGGCCAAGGTCTGCTTTAGTGGAAGGTTGCTGGGGATGAAGGCATCACACTTCTGTCAGGACATTGACGGTGTCAAAGATCAAGATGTTATTAGCCGGCTATGGTTTGATGTAATATTTCATGCAGGAAACAACAGTTGTTTGAAGCACAGACATTCACAGGGTCAATTTAATATCAATCATGTTGAAATACAATCAATCTAGAGTCAGACGGATGATGTTAACATGTGTTACTGCCTTGTGTCACACCATAATTCATTCATCACACTGGTGGCACCATTCATATATGTGACACATTACCTCAGGCAGATGTGCTAAAACGGTAAAGAGAAGCAACAAAGGGTCATTATTCTTGTTTTTATCCTTCCACAGGGTTTTTAAGTTCTCCATCCGAATATAGCAAGTGAAAAAAGCAAAATATAACACATCCACAGTGCCACCATAGAAAAAAACAGTATTTTCAAGACGTAGTGATCATGAAAAACTGCTCACATAGGTCAGGCTCTTCCCCCAAGGCCTCATGTATTGATCTTAATGCAGAGGAGGCATTTGTAAAAACGCTGCTGCCGGCATACTTCTTTAAAAGTCCCTGAACGCCCACACACTTGCAAACAAATGCACACTCTGCTGCTCACAAGAATACATGCTGCAGAAAAAATGTCAATTTAACAAGAATTTTTCTTTATTTTGACATGAAATGTAGTTTGAAGTTGTTGCATTGATGTAGGCGGAGGGTTGAAACAGTGTGTCATTTCTTCCTGCCTGTTTTTAATACAAGACAAAGCCATTTAAGTGAAGGATTGTTTTTGAGTGTGAACAGCCTACTTATCTTGGACTTAATTTGTAAAAAGTTTATCTGGAAACAGTTTGCATGATTTTAAAAATCACATGTAGGCACTCACACACGAGCAAAATAAAAAGGAACCGAAGCAGATGCCTGTATGTGTGTGTTGCGCTCATTAATGGGTTTTGGCTCCACATTTGTTGCCGTTGCAGTCTGTTGAGTGGACCTTAGGATCAACTGAGGGGGCGTCAGGCGGGAAAAAGCAGCCGCAGTATCTACAGAACACCGTTGTTAGTTTCCCTTAAACACAGAATGAAAAGATCACGGAGGAAAACACAGAAGGCAGTAAACACTGTCAGGCAAAATGTGAAGACACACACACTCAGGCCAAAGCTCTGACTCTGAGGTCCTTCTGCACACACACACACACACACACACACACACACACACACACACACACACACACACACACACACACACACACACACACACACACACACACACACACACACACACACACACACACACACAGTGGGCAAAGCTCTCCCGTCAAGGACAGTATTGATCTTGGACATACCAAATGAGCACACACCTGATTATGAAAGCTTTTAACCCAAATGCTTAATGCAGCGCAGGGCTATTGGGAAGAGCTTATGGCTGGCACAAAGCTCAGCAGACAGTGTGTGTTTTTGTGCACGTACTTTAGTCAATTTGATAGATTGTAGGCAGATCACATGGGCATTTCACTCACTCTATGACTTTGATGAGCATTTTACTAATCACAAGGCCTAAGTAATGATGGATTGAAGATGGTCCTGCTGTCATTAAACAAACTGATCCCAAAATGCACGTCCACCGCACCGGGAGAGCTTATTCACACAACGAGAGAATCCATTTTGAGGCACTCATTTGTCCACGGAGAAAACACTAGTTATACATCACCATAATTCATCTGCCGAACCATTTGTTCATATTGCGACTCTGTTCCTCCAGGAATTCCATTTCAGCAAAACGGAAGATACTGTAGAATCCGCACTGAATCATCCGTGAGTTCATTTACAATCATGGAAAAATAGCAACCCCAACGTAGAAATACATTATTGCATTAGGATTTTACTCAAAGAAACAGTATATTAGTATTATTAGATTGTGAAATGTTGTTCAAAGAAGTGGAACAAGCTAGTAAGTGAACTCAAGTTGAAGTCTTACAATATGGGAAATATGGCCTGTTAGCATTGCTTAGCGACAACACAGGAAAAAGTAGAAAACCTGTGACCTGAAAGCAAAATAAAACATGAAATGGATATTTATGGTCAAGCACAGTGACTTTCCAGCAAGACGAGACAAAGAAGACTCATAATTTGACACTAGTCGTAGTCATTTGATCCATTGTCAATATAGACATATTGATAAGTGCAGCCCTCCTATTTCCACCACTGGTTTCCTGAATTGATTGAACAAACAGTGGCTAATATTTGAAACCCTGGCACATAGATCTATAAAATATGCTGATGATAGATGCTCTATTTGTGGGAGCTCATTACCAAAATACAGTGTGCATATTCTGGAAAAAACATGCATTACTCAATGTCTCAGAAAAATGGGTTCCACTCTGAGAAAGCAGACTTTTATCAACCAAGGAACCACGTTATATCAGCATAATATTGCTGATTCTGGAATAATGACAGAAATTAAGGAACATATATGATATTCCACCAAATTAGGATTTGCCTTTTTATACTACAAGTGCCCTATGTTTTCAAGGGGCCCTATTTGTTTACAAATATTGTCCCATAGGAGAGTAAATACAATTATGAAGGGTGACATTTGATGAGAGAAGACAGATATGCCGTAATTGTGAGAGATGAGAATTTTCGAAAATGTCATATTACCATGACAACTCAGCTATTGTCATGTCAAGGTTGCAGTGTGAGGAGTTGCGCTGCAACCAAACGAGACACTTGCTGTTGTTCTCCATCAGGAATGATTGCAATAAATCCTCGATTTTCTACAACCCATTATTCGCCACTAAAATGGAATTGTTCCCTGAAATTGCACGACCAAAAATCAATGTCATCAGCTCTGGCGCTCTACAGTCCAAAGTGCATCCAAATACAGTAGAGGTGTTTATATTATTCATGAGATCCAGGTTCACACAAGGCCAGCATCTCGACCCAGACTGCTTAATGGCCGCTCCGCCCTTCATCACGGAGAAGCCCGCCCTGTGATCCATGCTTGGCAGTCACTTAGCCGAGAGGATTGAGACTGCTTTGAAATATTCAATAATGCATTAAAGATCAGAGTAGTGAGCTAATTATGTCCACATACACATGAACACAGAGTGAAGTTGGAGGTAGCAATTAAGTATTTTGCACGCTGACAAGCTGTAATGAAGTTTTCGTGAATGCATGATTTGTCACCTCTCAAAGGCTACACCAGCATTGTTCTTACTCTTACTCCTAACATCTTCGACACTGTGGTGTGTACGTGCGCCTCTCAGTGTACCAGACAATAATAACCTATCTCAAGGCGACCCATCAGCTTGAAATATTGATGCTTTTGCTGCAAGGCTGCGGGCCTCAGCGGCAGGTTACAAGGACACTTCCAATGTATCATAGAATATCAGACAACCCCCCCCCCCCCCCTCCATTAGCAAAGACATGCTGGCCTCACTGACTGTGGAACAAATGGACCTGACACTTACCCAAACAAACGTATCAACAGCTTACACAACATCCCCCTTTCAGTGTGACACTTTACATCCACTCATGATCTCTCTATGCTACCTTTAACATTTTTGTCTTGCAATACTTTCATTAATTTCTCATTTAAAATGATGTATTACAGTTTTTCTCCATTGTATGTATACATACACACACACACACACACACACACACACACACACACACACACACACACACACACACACACACACACACACACACACACACACACACACACACACACACACACACACACACACACACACACACACACACACACACACACACACACATTTTACTATGCAAACAATGATATAATCTTGAAGCTCATGTATAAACAACAAAACTCCAGACTGCTCTAAGCACGATTATATTTGTTTGATTTAAATCAACCAGGACTGAAAACTTAAATTGCCTTTGCAAAGTTTCAATTAAGTTCTCACTTGAAGTGGCACCACCATCAGGGCTTATTTGTGTTCACTTCACTCTATTAGTTTTTGCCCTTTGCAATCACATTCAATACTGAAATAATGA